AAACAGCAGATATATGAGTATATAAAATATGTCTAATTAACTGAGAACAAATAATTGGCAGCCTTCAAATACGGTACTTACATGTGGCTTCAAGTATGTACCTAGCAGGTATATAAAACTATATACTGTTCTAGTCATTTCTTTGCAGGCTTCCATTTTCCCTGCATATGTAGAAAGGGAAAAGTTAAAAGAACTATGGAGAAAAAAACTGCAAATTATGTATCAGCAAATAACACATCTAAAATACAAAGAAGGAAATACCTAAAACCAAATTGTTAGAAAAATCTGAAACTAAATCTATGGATGCAACCAACAGTTTCTCTAGAGCATTCTTTATTTTGGCAGCAAAAATACAAATATCAATCAAAAGTTAACACACCATAACTTTTATTAACTCTTAGATATATAACCCCCATTCAAATCTATGGAGCCCTAATTGCTTAAGCTCATGTATCTGCATTTAATATACGGATGTCAACCACATTCATCTTAATTTCCAAGGGTCTCCCATTTCAGAATTTCCGAAAACAATTTGAAAACATAATCATCTACCAAACATACATTTTAGAACCGCAAAAACAACTAAGACTGATGATATTTGTAAATTCAAGGCAGTAAACATTTCCATACAGATTTCACAAAAGAAAACTCATCCTATTTCTTACCTTCATTTATAAAACGGTAAAGCGCGACAATATCTCCACCAGCTGCAAATGCACGGCCACTGCCCTTAAGAAAATTCAAAATACCATATAAGTTTGACATCATTATAAACATAAGCAAACCATATCGCAGTTAGCATGAGATGTATGTCGAAAAATGTAAGAAAAAACAATAGTGTATGTAGTATTATAGTATATGTCTCAATAACAGTGACACCTCTGAAGAAAGGTGCGTCCATGTTAGTGTTGGTGTCTGAAACCGACACTTGTAATTACATTTAGTTTATTCATTTTTTCAAATTATTACTGGTGTCGATGTGTCAGTGTCGGTGACGTATTTCTAATGTCGGTGCTTCATAGATATATGTATAATAAGAGTATTACCTTGAGCATGACAAAACCAATATTAGGGTTATCTTCCCAACTTGTATAAAGTTTATGCAGTCTTGCAGCCTGAAAAACGAAAAGGAATAATCTTAGTAAGCAAGCTACCCTTACCCTTACTTAGTTCGTACAAAAATGAGAATAAAATCAGAAAGGCTTTGTTTGGGAAAATTGGTAGGCTCGGTTTGGCAATGTGAGTAATTGAGCTTATAGCTTATAAGTTGGCATGTTGAAAATGAAATATAAGAAGTAAGAATTGAAGTGAAAGAAGATAGTAAAAAGTAACCATGGAGGTGTTGATGGCATTGAGAGCGGAGGGTCTGTTGAGAAGGGCGAGTCTGGAGTATCCATTTTCTTCAACCAAAACCTGTAAAGAGAGAGATTGAAATGAATAAGAAATGATTGAGGAGAATGAAGAAAAGAGTTTAAGGAAGTTACGTTGTGGTGATGATCGACGGAGAGAGCGGGGGTTCGGCTTAGCTGCCGTCGCTGGTGGTGGTGGTTTGCATTTTGTTGTAACAACCTCCTGAATGTGGTTGTTCTGCATTGCACGGACATCCTAATTCATCTATTTTATTCAATCTTCGTGATTTCCCTTAACCAAAAAAAGGAATATATATTGACGGTAGAAAAATAATTTCAGATAATTATTCTCGTATATTTTATCATATCAAATTATAAATTGAATTTAATTGATATATATATATATATATATATATTAATAGTGTAAAGAAATTTTATACAATTAATTAATTATGATTATTAGATTTTAATTACGGTTTGACTTTGATTTTAATTATTTATAAATTAATACATATGAGTAGTTGTAATGCATTGCCTGTGTTAAAAATTTTATACTGATAGCATATAACAGTTAATCTCTTATAAATTTTAAATAAATGATATGACATGATAGATTGATAAATTTCTATTGAAATGACAGTATAAAATTATTTTACACAGTCAATACTTATCAATTAAACTCTTTCGTTTTACTCATTCGTTCATTTAATTAATCAACAGTGGAATATGAGATTTAACAAGTGCATGACACACATAAGTTTCATTAGAAGTCAGTTCGACCATTGTGTTTATTTCAGATTTCGACTTGATAATTTATTTGTTATTTTGTTGCTCTATGTAGTGATATTCTAATAGCCAGCAAAAATGTCGAAGATGTAATGAGGGTGAAGGATGAACTCAATAAGTAGTTCGACATAAAGGATCCGGGAGTTTCGTTCAAGATTCTTGGGATTGACATCCGAAGAGATAGAAAATAATCGAAATTATGCTTATCTCAAGAGGCATACCTACGAAAGATTCTCGAAAATTTTGGTATGTCGATTCAAAGCCTATTGTGACTCCGACAAACTCTCAATTCAAGATGAGTATAGATCAGTGTCCCAGTACTGATGTCGAAAGAACTTATATGAATAGCATTTCATATGCTAATATAGTGAGTTCTTTGATGTATGTTATGGTTTGTACTAGAGCTGACATATCATATGCAGTAAGCCTTGTAAGTAGGTAAATGGTGAATCCTGGAAAGCCTCACTAGCAAGCATTGAAGTGGATTATAAGGTATATAAATGGGTCTCTGAATAGAGTCCTAATTTATGGTGGAGCCTTGGGTGAAGATGGTAAAGCAGCAATTGAAGGATATGTCAACTCTGATTATGCAGATTGTATGGATTCCAAAAAATCTATTTCTGGATATGTGTTCATTATGTATGACACAACAATCAGTTGGAAAGAAACACTTCAGAAGGTTGTTACCTTATCAACACTGAAGAGAAATATATTGCTCTCACAAAAACTCTGAAGGAAGCATTGTGGCTTGAAGGTTTTGCAAAGGAGCCGAAACTTAAAGGTCGAAGTATCACTGTTAAATGTGATAGTCAAAGTGCAATACACCTGACGAAGAATTCAGCCTATCATGAGCGAACTAAGCACATTGATGTGAGGCTACATTTCGTCAAAAAGGTAATCGAGCGTGGAGAAGTTCAAATGCTAAGGTTTCGACATATCATAATGTTGCTGATATGATCATCATGATGTTGCTCAGTTGTAAGTTTTTCCACTGTTTGCAGTTGATAAAGCTGCATGAAGAAAGCTAGTTTGTTTCTTGATGTTATAGAGTTAGATCCAAGGTAGAGATTTGTGAGATATTAGATTGAACTCTAGTTTAGCATGCCGTCGAAGTCTGTTCACATGCTATTGTCGAAGATCTACATGATGTAGTCGAATTGTGTTCTAGTACGTAATTGTTGAATTGAGCCTTGTGTTAGGACTCAATTGTTTAAGTTAGCTTGTACGGTTGTACCTTATGTTAGTTTGTAATGGATAATTGTTAAAAAGTCCATTAGTTTATTATGTTAGGTTTTATTATAAATAACATACTAGTCTCTCATCATAAGTGTGGTGTGACAAATTCTAATCAGGGTGAGAGAATTATTTGTTATTCTTGAGTACTTGTAATCTAGTTTGAAGAGAAAGTAAAGAATATCAGTTATAACCAACTCTTGTTGTTCTTCTTCTTGTTTTTAACCCTAATCCTTGTAAGTTTCTTGACGACAAAAAAATCATTTATACTTTATTTCAAGACATCAATTCACAATATATATTTTTTTCTCATTTTTTGATATCAAATTAACTATAACATTCTATGATATAATATTTCTTTCGGTTAATTTTATTTTTTAAATTTATTAAATAATTAATATATTTAGTTTAATAATAAATCAAATTTATTAATTATTTAATAAATCTTAAAAATAAATTGTCTTTTAAAAATATAAAAAGTATATAATAATATTAAAAAACTAATCACGATGTATTTTTCATACTGTCTTTTAACTAAAATGTTAATTGTTTAATTAATAATTAATATATTTAGTTTAATAATAAATCAAATCCATTAATTATTTAATAAATTTTAAAAATATAGATTATCTTTTAAAAATAGAATCATAGGAAGTATATAATAATATCGGACGTGGAATTTCCATGTATGCCTTTAAATAACCAAATCATGGATAAAACTTTTCAAATTTTATTTTTTGTAAACATGTTTTCAAATTAATTAGAGTTATTTTAATAGTGGCAATTTTTTTTTTTTTTCAACTTTATCTTTGGATTCATTTTGATCCCTCAATTTTAAAAAATGTCAATTTAATCATTTAATTGTTCAAGCAGCGCCACGTTAATCTTTTACGTTTGCTCCATTAGTCAGAGTCAAATGTAGGGTACAGGTGGCGTAAACATGTCATTGAGGTGGATATGAGGTTACATTAAAAAAGAAACTGGAAGGCTTTTTATTCATAAAACAGACTAAATGCATATGGACCCTAGCAGAGCAACTCACGAAGGAGGATTCTGTTGCGATTTGCAAAAGGAGGAGAGTAGGCGAAATTAAAAGCTTGTTTGAAGGTGAAATCGAAAACACCATTGTTAATGGTTCTTTTCTAGGGGATTATACTATAATTTATGACTATTGTCATGAGATATTAAAAACAAACATAGGGTCAACAGTTAAACTAAATGTTCAACCTGATCAATAAGGTATTGATGATCAAAGACTCCATTTTAGAAGGTCGTATACATGTTATGTAACATGTAAGGAGAGCTTCAAGTTATGTAGACATTTCATAGGTCTTGATGGTTGCTTTTTAAAAGGTTTTTGTGGTAGGAAAATCCTGGCAGCCATAGGTAGATATTCCAATGATCAAATGCTGCCAATAGCTTTTGCAATAGTGAAGGGTGAAAATAAGGATAATTGGACATGGTTTTTGGAGCTTCTTATTGATGACCTTAGAGGTAGAAATGAGCGTCTCACATACACATTCATTTTTTATCAACAAAAATCATGTTATATTTTCTTTTTGTATTGTTATGTTTATGTTTGATGTTATATTTTTGTGTTTTCATTCAAATTATTGTTATATTTCTGTTTGTGTTATTATCATTTTTTATTGCAAGATCTATTACCTGCAATGGATGAGTTTCTACCTAATGTTGAATAGAGATTTTGTGTAAGACACATGTATAACAACTTTAGGAAGAAGTTTCCTGAAAAGATGTTGAAGGAATTCATATGGAAGGCTGCAAAATTAATCTACTCACAAGCATGGGAAAGAGAAATGAAAGTAATGGGAGTTGTCAATGAAGATGCCTTCAAACACATGTTGAGCACTCCATCAAGATTCTGGAGTAGATCATACTTTAAGACACATAACAAGTGTGATGTTGTTCTCAATAACATGTCAAAAGCTTCAATATAAAAGTGAGTTGTCGAGTTGTTTGCTTGTAGAAAGTACGTAATGTAAAAACGGTAATTAATCGAGTTGTTTGCTCGGAGATATGATAACTTTATGGGATTGGTTTTCATCCATCGAATATGTATGCAGTTTATTATTCACTTGTCCATAACTTAGTTATCAATCACTATCCTCGTGTATCACTCACAACAATGTTTATGTCATGGTGATATTTCTACTGGTTTGTTTAATTGACATTGTTTCAATCTATTAAACAAATAGTAGAGTTAAGATCTAATACTCGATGTGAATGCTTAACCCTAAATCTATTTCTAGCATTTAGAGTTTAATATATTGTTATCTTGGATCAAGATTCAAACTGTATTTCTCAATAGCAATTATAATCTATGAAGTTAAACGGTAAAACAAAGATAACAAAGATAAGTGATGAATAAATAGATTATATCTTGATGTAATCAACAAACATACATACGGTATCGATGTATTACATAAAATCCCAACAAGTAAGAAGATTTAGCTACTCATTTTTGTGGTAGCTTTAATTACAAAAGCGAAGAAATAAAGATGGATGAGCATCAACAATGGTTTTTTGACGATTGATGTGTATCCAGGTTGAAATCTTCCAAAGTCACTCTATTCTTTGTCTCTCTTCTTCTAGTTGTGTTTTTCTCTATAAATTCCAAAAATCTTCTTTTTTGAATGCTTCTAAACTATTTATAGTAATTGTGCCATGCTGATCTCGTCTGGCGAGTTGTTGCCTCGCCTTGCGAACAACGTTTCTTCACCCGAAAGTATCTGCCACATCATCATCTCAAACCGCCTTGTCTCAACTGGCGAGAAAAAGGCTCACATGGGGAGCTTCCTCGTTGTAGCCTCTCCAGGCGAGAATGGAGCTTTTTGATTTTGGAAATTCTTTGACTTGTGTCGCCTGGTGCCCACTGGAGCTTCGCTAGGCGAGATGGCTCGCTTAAGGCTTACCTAGTGAGAAGGAGGATTTTTGCTTCTATTTCTCCATGTCTAAGCCTCGTTGTTGGCTTTCGAGGCGAGCTTTTGCATGAGTCTCACTGGAGGCTCGCCTGAAGAACTTGCAGTTTCTCTTCTTTCTTACTTTGTGCTCTGTTGCAGTGAGAATCAGATATTAAGCTATTGAATTAACTTGAATCACAAATCTTTGAAATTCACCATCGAGCTTTGATTTATCCAAAGGAAGGGGTAAAGATTGAAGAAAACCCTAAGTGTGCAATGTAACAACAAATTTAAGAGATCTAAGATTTGGTTGGTAGGTTATATATAGGGAAGGTGTTAACATCCTAAGTATTTGTAGTAATCTACAGGAACCTCCTGTTTGTATTTATGTTATGTTAAAGTTTGCTTGCTAAGGAAAATGTGCTAAGATAAAGACCTAAGAGTTTATTTTTAAGTATGCTCGTCAAGACATTGTATCTCGTGCCTACATATCCTGACTAGGATGGAATCAAAGCATTTGTAGTTCACCTAACTAGGATTGATTAGTCTCAATTGCACTAGGGCGAGAGAAAAGATCTCGATCGCACTGGGGCGACAAAAAATGAAAGTTAGTTGTTAGTGAGCTTGCCAAGGATATGGATCCTTGTGCCTACGTACCCTCATTAGGGAATGAGAAATCAGAGTATCCGTAGTTCACCTCACTACGGGTGAGGAACTCTTGATTGTGGTCAAGGTTCCAAGCGGAAGAGTAAGTGTCCATGGGAAGACACCTAAATAGAGTGCGTCGACTCTAATCCTAAGGCTAAGATGAGAAAGCTAGAGAAGGAAAGTTCTCATGGCAACACACCTACAAAGAGTGCGACAGCTCTAATCCTAAGGTTAGGATAAACGGGTAAGACTCTAACACGGTCTCAAGGGAATGGTGGACAAGACTATCATAAACATGACATGGAAGTTAACAGGGAATCCTTTCCTTTGGAATTAGGACAAGCAATAATAAGGAGCAAAGGATGAAGCTTTAAGCATAAATGATAACAATCATGATATCTGATTCTCACCATAACATGCTCCAATATTGGTCTAAGTGTGAAACTTCTGCACAAAAGTAAAGAATTCAAAATGTACAACACTATCTTTTTCAAACTTAATCCTATTCACAAATTGGAGGGTTTAACAGTAGAAAACAGTAAACCTAGTCAATAAATGCCATGATTTTATGTGATCAAATACCATATTTTGGCACTTATTACCTGTCCCCAACATTGATAAATAGGTAGACAAATCAACTGGCTACGAATTGTTGTCATTTATGAATTCCTATTCCAAATACAATAAGATCCTATGCATTAGGCACATATATACAAAACTGCTTTCATGATAAAGCATGCTAATTACTTATACAACGTCATTCCCTTTGGCTTATAGAACGCGAGCTCTACATATCAGAGAATGACGAATAAAACTTTTGAAGAAGAAATCAGTGATACACTAAAAGTATACATGAATGATATGATCTTAAAATCCAACAAAGAGAAATTGCACGACATGTACCCCACAAGATTATTCAATAAAGTTTGGTAGTATAACATGAGACTAAACCTCGATAAATGCACCTTTAGAGTTAGGGTCGACAAATTCCAAGGTTCTTACTTAACGGTGAAGGGCATTGAAGCTAATCTTAATCAATGCGAAGTAGTTATTAAAATGGAGATCCCTACCACAAAGAATAGTATAATGGAGTTGAATGAGATGCTTACCACTCTCTACAGGTTCATCTCGAGATCATCCCAACATGCATTATTGTTCTATAGACTGTTAAGAAAAGAGGTACACTTCGTTTGGAACCTAGAATAAGAGCGAGCATTCACGTCACTAAAGGAATCTCTATCCACCCTACTAGTTCTATTCAGACCATTGGTCGAAGAAACTCTATTCCTCTACATTTTGTGTGTTTGTCGAAATGGTTAACACCGTCCTCATCTAAGAAGTGGGTACCATGCAGAGTCCAATATATTTCATATCCGAAATACTAGAAGGTTTAGAAATGTGTCACCAGAAGATTGAGAAAATGACGTTGGCCTTGATCCCACCCTCAAGAAAGTTGTTTTTTGGCACACACTATCGTTGTTCGGACATACCAATCTCTTAAGCAAGTCCTCCATTAGCCAGACCTTGCAGGATGACTGACAAAATAATTAATTGAACTATATATCCACATGCATAACCATGGTGTCTAGAATCAGTTTAACTTAAATTTACAGATGATGTGACATATCTTTTAAATAATCAAATAAGATTCAAATTATTATAATTATTAATTATTGAAATAATAATACAATTTTAAGATAGATACTGTACACAATCCCCACACTTATTTAGGTTAAGTAAAGTCTCCTTTTTTTTATGAACCAAATTTACAGGGATTTTAAGTAAAAGCATGTAGTCAATTAAAAGCATGATTTCTTCTTTTGAGCCAAACTAAAGGCATGAGTAAGCCAATGTTTTCTCCTCAATGAGTTCTTGGGCAGTTTTATCCAACTTTTCCCTTGACAATTCATCAATCTTGAGCCCTAGCAAATTATGAAATACAATAATATATCAAACAATGTATCATGACATTAAATACAATAATATATCAAACAATGTATCATGACATTAAATACAATAATATATCAAACAATGTATCATGACATCAAATACATTTGTTAGCCAATATAAGAATAAGCAATGTACCTTGTACTATACTCCACTCTCCTTTGTCACATGTAACAGGAAAAGAGTAAATGAGACCAGGTTGAATTCCATAAGATCCATCAGAATATACTCCCATTGATACCCATGTTCCCTAAAATAAATCATGCAAATACAACAAACAATAGATAAATAATAGCATTAGTGATGAAATTCTGGTTAAGATAAATTAAGAAAAAACTAACCTTAGGTGTACCTAGAACCCAATCACGTATATGATCACAAGCAGCACTTGCTGCTGATAATGCACTAGACAACTTCCTTGCTTTGATAATTGCACCCCCACGCTGCTGAACAGTTGTGATGAACTCATTGTTTAGCCTAACACAAATCAAAAATATAATTATGAAGAAAATTGCTTTAAAGTATATTTTTATGCACACATACACAAACATAGTTGATTGCATATTTAAAATTTTTTGTAGAGTAAAGTATAGTCAAATTCTTGAATTCAAACATACACACTATAGTGTATGTTCAAATTCTAAAATGCGACTTATATGGAAATTTCAATTTTTTTTAGAATCAGAACATGTTTTAAGATCACGTCAATTACATATAAGTACAATTCTCCATAGTATTAAGTATTGTAAAAAATCACAAATATATTGAGATTGAGAAGATTTAAAAGCGAGATACCAATAATCATCAGCAACTAATTCTTTGACAGTTTTTTGGCCATTACTTATTGCGACGGTTGCATGGTTAACATCTGGATATTGAGTTGAGGAGTGATTTCCCCAAATGATGACATTTTTCACATCACTAACATGAACATTAAGCTTCTCAGAGATTTGGCCTAATGCTCTATTATGATCAAGTCTTGTAAGACATGTGATATTTTTCTCAGGGATTGATGGAGCAAATTCTTTCAATATTAGAGCATTTGTGTTCGCTGGATTTGCAACCACTAGCACCTGCATTCATAAACAACTTTGTGTTAGAGGAACTCGCATGCATAGTGATCCAAATTTGTGTGAAGCATCTTCTTATTCATTTTACATTTATGAAGATATAATCAAGAATTTAGAATTGTTCATGGTTCGCTTCACGTTGAAAAATCGAACCAAACTAAAACATATGAAAGTTCGGTGCATCGATTATGTTTTCCAAATCAAAACTACATAAGAAAATAATGAAAATGTATTTTTTCAAACTGAGTTGACTGAACTGCACCGAAAAAAATCAAACTGTGTTGAATAGTTTACGAACTGAACTGAGTCAGTTTGGTTAAGTTCGTAAACTATTTATCACAATTTTATTCTTTTCGACGTGTTCAGTTATCAGTTTGGTCCTTTGGGTTATGAACTGTGACTTAGAATTTTAAGTGCTTCTTACTTTACAATCTGCAGCAGCATGCTCCTCCAAAGCTGAAGCTTGAGCTTTGTAAATAGAAACATTCTTAGACATTACATCTTTTCTTTCCATTCCTTCTTTTCTTGGGATTCCAGCAACCATAACAGCAATGTTAACATCCTTGCAAGCTTCAACAACATCAGTAGTAGCAACAACACCTATATTGCATTTAATATATATTCACAAATTACAAATAAAATTATTAGATATGCTTAATTGTGCTTAGTTCAAATTAAACTTCAAAAAACATGCCTTTAAGAAGTGGGAAAGCAGCATCAATTAGTTCCATTTTGACCCCTTTAAGTGCCTCAAATCCTGGTTCAGTCTCAAGCATATGTAGAATCACAGGTTGATTTGGACCTAACATCATCCCTCTTGCAATCATTGGAACAAGTGCATAACCAATTTGTCCTATTATCAATCAAAATCAAAGTCAAAAATCACATCAAAGTAATGTCTACATATAATCTATGCAATACCAACACTTAAAATTGAAAACGTGTCTGATTTCTAATATGACATATATGACTATCAACTTGTTAGTGTTAATTAGTATTGTGTATTTAGATCGGTATAAGTGTTTCAATTAAGAGTGGCAAATAGATATGTCTGAAATCTTTAAATTTTATCCCACAAACATCTAGAAAAATAGGACGGAGAGGGCATTGTATAAGGTACGAGCTTAAAACTTTAGTCCGCTTGAAAAAAAAGGACGGAAGCAGACTGAGTCAATGGGTACTACATTTTTAAATTTTAAAATTTATAAAAATTTTATATTAATGTCTACGGCTGCAATAAAACAGAACGGGACAAATATATTTAAAGGTGTTGACAATTCAAACATTCAGATAAACTGGATCGGTTTTTCCACTCCTAATTTCAATCAATTTTGATAAAATAAGTGTAAACACATATTCATTTTTAAAAGTGTGCAAAACAGTCTACTGAATAAAACATCACATTTTTCATGATTAAACTATGATAAAAAAGACATCTATATAATATGGAACAAAATCTGTGACAAACATAAGATTTCATAAGGTTAGGCAAAATTGAAGAAGAACATAAAAAATGTATAAAAGAAATGAGTCATGCCTGCAGCACCAGTGACCAATATGGTGACAGGTTCTTTGTCAACTTTGAGAAGACCACACATGTATCTAACGATCTTCCAAAACAAAAAACTACAAAAGAAAACAAGAGCAGTTTTTTTAAGGATTGTATTGTCCAAAATTTCCATGTTCATTTTTTGTTATGATCCTAAGGAAATAATCTAGTTCAACATCTTTTTATATAGGAACTTTTTAATAGCAACATGTAATTAAAGAATCCATGCATGTTGAGATTACTCTTCAGGAAAGCAATCGTTATATACTAGAACTATGTCCTCAAGAAATGCAACCACAAGAGAATCACATGTACCTTAGCTAAAAAGAAAAGAACTGTTTTTTTAATTATATAATTTTGTGACCTAATAATTAAACATGCAAATGAAATATAAAATAAAAATTAGGAAAGAAAAAGAAAATCTCTTTTCCATGAGATGTTTAAGGATATGTATGGAAGATGAAATATAAAGATTGCAAACATATATCGTTGCATGATGCATTACAAGTTGAGATATTTCCTGTCTCAAATGATGATAATGCTACAACACGTTGTTTCTTGAAATCCAACGAGCAGAATTGAAGATCTTGAACATATAATCTAATGTATTTTTTCTGCCTACTTTGTCACTATTAATAAAAAATTAAACAAAGCATAAAGAAAAAAGTGAACATAATCACAACACATAAACATAAAGTAGAAATTCTAAAATCGAAAAAAAAAAATAACGACCATTGTTAATAAACGACCAAAAATTAATACTGTGTGAAAATTGTTATAACACATATAATATATCTTCAACTAATCCAGACCCTTAATATACTCACACACTCCAAAAAAAAAATTAACTGCATCTCACAACATTATAATATAAGAGTATAAGAGAATAAAGAAAGTCAAATACAAATTTAAATTATTTTTGACTGGTATATCTTGTGACGAAGAACTTGAATCTTATATGTAGCATATGACTCTCTCTTCCTTCACAAGATTAAGCGATATGTGACTTCAAAAAACTTGTATCCTATATATAACAATTGTATTAGGTAGTTTTTATGGAGAGTTTTCTCATTTTTGTAATCTGTTGATAATCCCTTGTGCTTCAATAAATACATTTTTGTTTATAAAAAAAATTGATACTTCCTATTATGTCAAAAATCATAAGAGATATGTGGGAATGGCTTAGCAAAGAGAGATAAAGAGGAAGGACAAAAGAGAAAAAGAAAAAGAAGTCAAAATGTGAGTAATAAGAAAAATAATATAATAATTAACAAAAAGAAAAAGAATTAAAAGAAAATGATAAAATAAATTTGTAATGTATTAATGAAATTATAAAAAAAAAGTAAGAAATTAAGAATATTGTATGCGACTAGAAAAATAAGATGTTACAATGTGACAATGAGAGCTTCAGGTAGTTGGGGTGTTCGTAGTACAATTTGAATAATTTTGACGCTAAAAGTGATTTGAACAAAAAAATGCAGTTTGGTTTAGTTCGGTTGGCTCTTGGAAATAAAATTGAACAAGACCAAATCAATGTAGTTTGAGTTATTTCGGTTTGTTTAGTATTTTACAAGATTTTTATTGAGACATAAATACACTTATAGAGGAAAACATAAATTTGTATTTATTCATTCATACATTACCAAATAACAAATAATAATAATAATATCAATGAGTACAAGTTACAACACTATTTCAATACCAAATAACAAAATAACTAAAATAACAAAATATCAATGTTTATTACAAATTACAAATTGAAGTTCCAGATAAAATCATTAGGGCATTATGTTACAACAGTATGGTAGCAACACAAAAACATTACCTAGACCAAAACTAGATTTCCCATCACACGACACAACAGAAAAAAACTACAATCATAAACTAGATCTTAAAAACAAAAACATTTTTTGCTACAAGAAAACTCAGTCACAACAATATCAAACTCTTCCATTAAAATCATGATATCCAAATATCATCCATTAGAGAAAATGAAAAAGAAAGAACAGAAGAAGGGAGCGACTATAGAAGAAGTTGTGTAATAAAAATGAAATTGAAAGAGAGAACAATATCATAAAAATGGGAAGATGAAAAAAAGAAAAGAACATAAGAGATGAGAGATTAGAGAAGAAAAGGTGAGATGTACCTTGCGAAGTAGATGGGAAGAAGGCGCAATATTACTAGGAGAGATTAGAGAATGCTGAACCTAAAACTCTAAGTGTGAAGAAGAGGAAATCATTCGTAATCGTAAGGTTAAGGTAGAATGAGTTTGGATTTTGGTTAGATATGGGTTAAGTGAATTTTGGTTTGTAACATAATGCAGTTCAATTTAGTTTGGTTTTCAAAATAAAAACCAAACCGCATTATGTTACAAACCTAACAAGGTTCTATTAAAAGTTGTATAAACTCAACAAACCAAAATATGAATTTTTGTGTGTGCAGTTTTTGGTTTGATTTCGTTCGGTTAGCAATTTTCTATTGGAGCGATTCAGTTTTAAGCACCTTTATCAGGTACGGCGATGTAGGGAGGACCTGTAAGGTCATCACTTCAATGCCCACATCAATGATGTTAGAGAGATGTAATTTGAGAGTCACATTGATATATTACTTCTAAATGACGTGTGGTAGGATTTAAATATGGTCGGCAATTAAAATTTTTTTGTCTACCCCAACATGCAATATTGAGAGCGTCTAATCTAATTTAACAATGGATGATGTACAAGTATATAGGATCAGGTGTATGGTTTTTTTTTGAAGAAGTCCCACTTGTTTCTTTGTCTACTGAGTCAGTATTTTGGGTTGGGCCTTACAATTTGACATTCTTTCTTGAGCATTTGGGCGACCAAAAATAGTTGCCCCTAAGTCTTTATTGCTACTTGGTGGAACGAGGATTGTATTTCCATGAGCACTCTTAATTACCATATTGAGTTTTCGGGTAAACCTTCGGCTAGTGGAAGTGGAAGAGTGTGGTAAGTTTGAGTAGGTGGCCTTAAAAACATGTGTATTAAATGCATGTCTTATAACCACAATGTTTCATAGAGCGAGCTCGACATGTGGCCTTAGGTTTGATGACAAAATTGGCCTTTATATGGTACTTGTTTACTTAAGTAAATCAAGGTTTGATCAGGGTCGTTGATAGCATGGGTGCGCTTCCATATGTCCTCTAATGTTGATCATGTGGTAGTCGACCAAGCAATATATGAAGATTCAAGGGCAAAATTTCTTTTCATTCCACTTCCGTGGACGAGAGTTAGAGATTCTATCTTTTCTCTTTTGGTTTTTGACTTCGTCTCCTTTTCTTTCAATTATTGTCTTGACACCGGCCTCTCGCGATATTTCAGTGGTCTGACTTGCACGTGCATAGAAAATCTCCTTTAAGCGAAAATTGTAAATTCGATGTAGTCCATGCATTATTTGATGAATTACATACATAGTTCATATGATCAAAAAGTTTGGTAACATATAGATTAAAAATAAATTTCGTTCAAATTTAAAATATAAAAGACTAATTTAAAATGAAAAATAAATACCAACTTGAATTTTCTACACTCTAAAGTTGACCTGCGTTGACTAACTTTTAGACCTTCCATGTTCTATATTTTACAATTTAATTTTAAACTTACGATTGGAGATTGTGTCCTGCCACCCTCACATTTAAACCTAACACCCTTTATTTTTTATATTGACTAAAATGCCCTTGTCATTATTTACATATCCCAAAATGATAGCTGGTAATTTTTTTTACTCTGGAGAAGCTGTAAATTTCTGAAAAATATGGTAGCTATAACAAAAAATTTTGATATTTGGTGAACACTATGCAATTTTATCGAATTTTAAAAAACCAATATGCAATTTTATTGGATATTTGAAAAAATGGTATCTTTTTGGGAAAATCGTTAGTGTTTTACCAAACTTTTTAAAAATCTACTGCAATTATACCATATTTTTCCAAAAAATCTAGTAAATTCTAAGGGAAACAATATTACTTACCGATTTTTTTGTAAAATCAGGGTAGTATAAAAAAAATTGGATTTGTTTTTGAAAATTCTGATATAGTGGATTTTTAGCCAAATGTAAAAAGTATGATAGGTCATTTAAGAATGCTTATTTGTGTGGTCCAGATTCGAATGGTTTCTTTAGATATTTTACGCTTTTTTTATCATTGACGTTGTATGATTTACTTACATGTTTTGTTTTTTTACCTTTTCAAAATTTAATAGGCCTTGGATATCTATGTCATTGATAATTCATTAATTATATGTTGTAAATGAATGTTTTCCCTCACAAGCTGAAGTGTTAGCATGGACATAGTCCATTGGTAAACAACATGGTATTATTGTTGTTACTATTTGTTCTGATACCGTAAATGGGATCCGATGGAGGAAAGATAAATTGTTTATGGTTTGTGAGAGAGGAGGAAAAGAATTACTCCAAAATCACTTTTAGAGTGAAATTTAAATGTCCATTTATGTTAAGATTTGCGCCAAGTGGTAGCAGTTGAAAGGTGATGGTTAGGTGTGGATTTCACAATCATAAACTAGCTACGAATTTAGATTTCCATGAAATATTAGGAAGTTTAAAAGATGATGAAAGACAGTTTATGAATGACATAAAAAAATACAATATGACTCCCAAATACATAGTTACAACTTTGAAAGATAGAGATCCAAAAAAATTCGCAAGCATTAAGCAGGTGTACAAGGCAAGATATACATACAAGAAAGACAAGAGAGGTTAATTGTCTGAAATGTAACATCTGGTGAGTTTAATTCATGAAGAGAAATACATATACTAGACTAGAAACAACTACAAATCAAATGTTATTACTAATATCTTTTGGACACATCCTGATTTACTGAAATTGTTAAACATGTTTCATTTGGTGTTGATTTTGATTGTACATATAAAAAAAAGGTATTGCATTCCCCAATAATGTAACTTTTCATTTTTTTTTTATCATGGGAACGTGTTGATTAATTTTCATATTGTGTTGAGTATTGACTGTACATAGAAAATAAACAGGTACCTGATACCACAACTTGAGATTGTTGGTGTTACATCAACGAAGTTGACGTTTTCGGTTGAATTTTCCTATTTGAAACATGAACGAAAGAATCACTTCACATGTGCACTGAAGAA